TCACAGAATTATGTGTAAACCGGTTCTGAGCGAACACTGGCAATGGAAGAGCCTTTTCATTTTTCAACCTTTTCAGTTTTCCCCACACCCTTTTAGGAACTTCCTAATTTAAATGAATTTCCTGAATGGCTGCTAGGACGGTGCATAATTAATGCATGGATCTTGTTACATTATAACTGCGGATCACAAGCATACACATAAATCAACAGAAAACATGCAAATGTTTACATGATTTTAGCTTTTATACATTGGGTACCACTCTCCAATTTTAACTATCAAATAATGTTTGTTAAATGATCATGAGATATGGCATTTTGAGACTGCCAATAAACAGTTGAACTGGTCTGTTTATCTTCATAACTATTTGTTCACTTGTTCAAGACACATATATGGAGCACTCCCTTTGTGTCAGGCTCTGAGCTGGGGTTGAGGCTACAAAGTTGACTAAAACATGGCCTTTATGGAATATATTTTTTAAAATGGATGTATCTGTAAATAGGAGGGTTTGAATTCTCTAGGCTTATGTGATGTTGTACTGCTTGGAAAAATGCAGTGATGTGGTATTATATTCTGCCCAACTGATGTAGAGTCTGTAGGGCTAAGGCATTTAAAATCGTTAAGACATTTGGCAGTTCACCAGATGCCATTGCCAGCACCTTCCATCTGCCACAAATGAATGTCCCTCAGAAGCATTGGAGCTCAGACACCTTGACTCGTAACTGCTCATGAATCTTTAGCATTCCGCCATATTTTACAATAATGTTTAGTTTCTATGCAGTAAGTCAGTGGAGTGAATCTTGGGTTTGTTTTTCAATTTGGAGGTTAGTGATAGGTTGGCAGGTTTGCGTGCAATCACCTTTCTTTCCTGGAGTCAAATTTCTTAAATACAGACTGTGGGACTGGAGCTGCCAATACCTTTATTTAGCAACTGTGGGCCTGATAATCATAGCAGTCAACGAACTGTCACATCAATAAATAACATCAAGAATATCTAGCAGTGGCCGGGCGCCGTGGCTCACACCTGTAATCCCAGTACTTTGGGAGGCTGATGTGGGCAGATCACCAGAGGTCGGGAGTTCAAGAACAGCCTGACCAACATAGAGAAACCCCATCTCTACTAAAAATACAAAATTAGCCGGGCGTGGTGGCACATACCTGTAGTCCCAACTACTCGGGAGGCTGAGGCAGGAGAATCACTTGAACCTGGGAGGTGGAGGTTGTGGTGAGCTGAGATCGCGCCACTGCACTCCAGCCTGGGCAACAAGAGTGAAACTCCCGAGTAGCTAGGATTACAGGTGCCTGCCACCACGCCCAGCTAATTTTGTATTTTTATTCTCAAATAATATTAATAATAATAATAATATCCAGCAGTGTTGTTCTGCTGTCTATCATCTGCAGCCCTTCATAGTCCAAATCCCATCCTGTGGATATTCCATTTTTTCCTTTCTTCCCCTGTGCCAAGAAGTGTGTTACTGAGATGTACTATGAGATCATGCTGAGTCAAAATGATAATAAAAGAAGATGACAATGAGGATGAGGGTGATGTTGAAACACTCATGGCTGAGGAATTTAATGTTCTAAAGGAAAAGAAACTCTAGCTGACACATATCTAAAGTGAGAGTCCTGTGCTGAGAAATGCTGAAGAGATATGGCATTCTGAGGCTGCCAATAAACAGATGAACTGGTCTGTTTATCTTCATAACTATTTGTTCACTTATTCAAGACACATATATGGAGCACTCCCTTTGTGTCAGGCTCTGAGCTGGGGTTGAGGCTACAAAGTTTTTATATATATATTAAATAAATATATAATTAAATAAATATTAAATTAAATATATATTAATATAATAATATATAATATATTTAATATAGGCATTTCTTAGCTAATCTCTGTTGAGCTGGGAAGCGGAGGCACAGTTGTGCTGGAATACCTCTGTACACCATGAAAGAGTGGTTGCTCTGAGCTTCTTGGGCCTCTCTTCCTTTCAATCCTGGTGACTGCAGCCCCTTCCCTGGGACCTCATCCTCAAGATCCAATAACTAAAGGATAGCTCATGGTATAGCAGGGCCTCCGCTGGCATTTGTTCCAATGGGTAAATATTCATGCTATCGTAGTTATTAAATAGTTTGATGCTCAGTTCTGTGTTTATGCAAACACTACACACTACATCAGCAGCATAGGCTAGGTTAGCTGCAGAAACAAATGGCCCTACACTCTCAGTGGTTGATAACAGCAAACATTTATTTGCCACTCACATTCCATGACCATCAAGGATCTTCCATGGCTCTGCTTCACGTCTCCTCCATGCTGAGACCAGGATGATAGAGCAGCCTGTGTCTGGAGTCATCAAGGGAAAGAGAAGGGAAAGAGAATGGTGGCCCCAGTACTGCTTGGAAGGTGCCACGCCTACGTGGCACGTGGCACCTCCTTACACACTTCATTGTCTTATTGCTCTCCAGAGCACATCTTTGGCCATGCCCGAGTTAGCAGGGCAGGGACACTTCACGGTGCTGGGTAATACTACCTAGTACATGCACAGCCTTTTGAAGATTCCCCTTGGTGATTTCATTACAATCTTCATCGCTCTTGGCCTGGCTGTCCCCCTTTCTTGTAAATTATTCTTGAGTTAATAGCCGTTCTTTGAGATGTGGTTAGTCATTTACACTGAAGTCAATGTGAAACCCTTCACAAATGTGGGAACATTTGAATAGTTGAAGCCTGTAGTCTCTGTGGGGAGTTTCCTTAGGAAGGGTGAAACGTTTCACCAGCATCCGCTTGGTCTTTCCTCCAGCTAAAAATGTAAAATGTGGGCATAGAAGAGCTCCTCGGTGTGGTTTTGGGGTGACTTTGCTCCCCGGGTCCCTAGTGATGTGGGAGTAGCCACCAAGGCACGTAAGGCTGGCCACACAGGGTGCAGTGCGTCAGCCTGTGACTGACAGGAAGGGAAGAGAAATACGTCAGTTACTCTAACAAGAAGAATTGACTTCCTTATCTGCAGAGCGGGCTCTGGTCTCTTCTCTTGAAGCAGATGCAAAGGTAGGATGAGAATGCATGACTGGCCGTTGTAGCAGGTCGTTTTAGGAGTGGGGTGCGTAGAGATTATAGTTATTGTAACTTTTCTTAAATTTATGACATTGAAAAGGTAGGAGACAAAACATAATAAATTAGATAAAAGATATCTTGTAATTTTATTGAATAACAATTTAATATTTGAGATAATAATGATTTAAGTGATATGGTGGAAGTAACTTCAGAGTTAATTAAAAACCGAAACAAAACAGTAAAACACTATCCAAAAGCTATATGGTGTGATTTTTTTTTAAAGGGTAGAGTGTCATTTGCTTTCTTCTTTGGTTTGTAAATTCTTATACTTACAGTTTGTTACTGTTTTGCTGTCTCTGAATCGACTTTATTGTTTTAATCACCTGTAATTTCTAGTTTGGAGGTGGAATATCAATATCATTTTGGAATTATAAAAAAGTTAGCTAGGGTCTAATTTAAATTTCTTTTAATTAAACTTCCTTAATCCCTAAATTGCTTGGTAAGAAAGAGACTATGAGAGGAAAATGCACATTAGATATTAAATTAGAATTGGGCTGAGTGTGATGGCTCGCACCTGTAATCCTAGCACTTTGGGAGGCCAAGGTGGGTGGATCCCTTGAGGTCAGGAATTTGAGACCAGCCTGGCCAACAGGGCAAAACCCCATCTCTTAAAAAAAAAAAAATAGACAAAAATTAGCTGAGCGTGGTGGTGGGCACCTGTAATCCCAGCTACTCAGGAGGCTGAGGCACGAGAATCACTTGAACCCAGGAGGCAGAGGTTGCAGTAAGCCAAGGTCCCGCCACTCCAATCCAGCCCGGGCAACAGAGCAAGACTCCATCTCAAAAGAAAGAAATTAGAATTGGTGTAGAAAAGATTATTCTGCCAAGATAGTCGGAGATTCTAATTTCTTAGCTGCTTTGCCTAAATGAAGCATAAGGTTTTGGAGTTAAACAGACCCAGTTTAGAGTGTGAGTTTAGTTAAGTTACTTAATCACTCCAAGACTCACTCTCCTTATCTGTAGAATGGGTACATTTATTTACTTCATAATGTGGTAATAAGGATTAGTAGAGACAATGTATGCAAAGTACCTAAACTATCTGGTTCAGAGTAAGAGCTAAATAAATAGTAGCTGTTGGCACAACAGAAAGCATAACAACAATTGCAAGTAGTACCTAGAAGGATATAATAATATTAATTCTCGGCCAGGCACAGTGGCTCATGCCTGTAATCCCAGCACTTTGGGAGGCTGAGGCAGGTGGATCATGAGGTCAAGAGATCGAGATCATCCTGGCCAACATGGTGAAACCCCGTCTCTACTAAAAAATACAAAAAAATTAGCCGGGTGTGGTGGCACGCGCCTGTAGTCCCAGCTACTAGGGAGGCTGTGGCAGGGGAATTGCTTGAACTCAAGAGGCAGAGGTTGCAGTGGGCTGAGATCATGCCACTGCACTCCAGCCTGGCGACAGAGTGAAACTCCGTCTCAAATAAATAAATAAATAAATAAAATAATAATATTGGCCGGGCGCCGTGGCTCACACCTGTAATCCCAGTACTTTGGGAGGCTGAGACGGGTGGATCACGGGGTCAGGAGATCGAGACCATCCTGGCTAACCCAGTGAAACCCCGTCTCTACTAAAAAAATACAAAAAAACAAGCCGGGCGAGGTGGCGGGCACCTGTAGTCCCAGTTATTCGGGAGGCTGAGGCAGGAGAATGGCGTAAACCTGGAAGACGGAGCTTGCAGTGAGCTGAGATCCGGCCACTGCACTCCAGCCTGGGCGACAGAGCGAGACTCCATCTCAAAAAAAAAAAAATAATAATAATTCTAATGTATTTGCTCTTCCACATGAAGAGGTCAGGTTTAAAGTATGAATGCCATGGCTTCCTATTTCAGTCATGAAGTCCTATTTCTCACTTTAAAGTAACATTTTTTGTTGTTTTTGGGTGGTAAACGTCTCCCCAAATGAGAAAGAATACACGTAATCAGCAGTGAATTGCAGTGACCTTTCAGATAAAGCACCTGTTCGACTTTGTCCTCTCTCAGGTAGGTTTCAAGTTTTATAGATTCAAGCCCACGTATGAGTCTTCTAATGTTTTTTATATGTTTATTTATTTGTATGTATTTGTTTTTATTTTTATTTATTTATTTGAGACGGAGTCTCACTCTGTTGCCCAGGCTGGAGTGCAATGGCATGATCTTGGTTCACTGCAACCTCCGCCTCCCAGGTTCAAGTGATTCTCCTGCCTCAGCCTCCTGAGTAACTGGGATTACAGGTGCCTGCCACCACGCCCAGCTAATTTTTGTATTTTTAGTAGAGATGGAGTTTCACCAGGTTGGCCAGGCTGGTCTCAAACTCCTGACCTCAGGTGATCCACCCACCTCGGCCTCCCAAAGTGTTGGGATTACAGGCGTGAGCCGCCGACCCCAGCCTTTTTATTTATTTATTTATTTATTTATTTATTTATTTACTTTTTGAGATAGAGTCTCACTCTGTCGCCCAGGCTGGAATGCAGTGGCCACAATTTCAGCTCACTGCAAGCTCTGCCTCCTGGGTTCACGCCATTCTCCTGCCTCAGCCTTCTCAGTAGCTGGGACTATAGGTGCCCGCCACCACGCCCAGCTAATTTTTTGTATTTTTACTAGAGATGGGGTTTCACCATGTTAGCCAGGATAGTCTCCATCTCCTGACCTCATGATCCGCCTGTCCGATCCTCCCAAACTGCTGGGATTACAAGCGTGAGCCACCACACCCAGTCTTATTTATTTTTTTGAGATAGAGTCTCCCTATATCACCCAGGCTGGAGTGCAATGGCATCATCTCAGCTCACTGCAACCTCTGCCTCCTGGGTTCAAGCAATTCTCCTGTCTCAGCCTCCTGAGTAGCTGGGATTACAGGCGCCCACCACCACACCCAGCTAACTTTTGTATTTTTAGTAGAGACAAGGTTAGTAGAGACAGGGTTTCACCATGTTGGCCAGGCTGGTCTCAAAACTCCTGACCTCGTGATCCACCCACCTCGGCTTCCCAAAGTGCTGGTATTACGGGCGTGAGCCACTGCACCCAGCTGAGTCTTCTAATGTTAAGTACAGATTTCTGAGGAACCTGAAGCTTATACAACTTGTGGAGACTTTAGGAAAATAAAGAGGGAACCAGGTATAGGGCATCTTGGACCTTGGACAGGGCTGTGCAAATAAGGGATTCTGAAGTTGAGGTGTCATTAGCTTCCCAGAAAACTCGCCTCTGAATAAGTAACAAGATAGACACGAAATTTATAAACACACATCTTCATTTCTGTGTCAGACTTTCTGATGGATATGCATATGTGCTGTCTCATTGTTGCAAAAATGAGTCTTTTAAAAGCCTATGAATAGGGAACTGAGCTGAGAGCTGTTCTTTATTCATCACCTTCCTTTGTGGCTGCCATCAGCTTCCGTGAAGAATCTATGCAAGCGGGCCGGGTGCGGTGGCTCACGCCTGTAGTCCCAGCACTTTGGGAGGCCAAGGCGGGCAGATCACCTGAGGTCAGGAGTTCAAGACCAGCCTGACCACCATGAAGAAACCCTGTCTGTACTAAAAATACAAAATTAGCCGCGCATGGTGGCACATGCCTGTAATGTCAGCTACTCAGGAGGTTGAGGCAGCAGAATCGCTTGAACCCGGGAGGCGGAGGTTTTGGTGAGCCAAGATCGCGCCACCGCACTCCAGCCTGGGTGACAATAGCGAAACTCCGTCTCAGAGAAGAAAAAAAAAAAATCTACGCAAGCAAAAACGTCACGAGGTTTTCGGGTAAAATTTCAAGGACAATGCAGTCACTCAACTTTTCCCCTGCATACGAGGCAGAAAGCGTGGTGGCCGCAAGCTGAAGCTGTGAAACTTCTCAAGGAAATGGCTGTGGTAAACAACACAGGAGTGAGCTGCTTTGAAATGACCTACAGGGCCGTGGCTTGTGGGCTTTGAGAACGTTCTGTAGTTTTCCCTTGAAAGCGTGTGTGGTGAGGACAGTCACGTTCACACGCACTCATGCTGCAGCAGATCTCTGCATTTCCACTCTGGTGACGTTTCCCCGTACCAGGGAGGGCTGAACATTTATTTCCTTTGATCCGATGATTGGCTGCCCAGAGACAATAGATGATTGGATGAAAGAAATAGGGGCCCCTGTCTACGAATAAACAATGTATCTCTTTCCCATCCTCCTCCTCTCTTTTCTTCATCCGCTTTACTTTTCTCGTACTTTTCCCCTTTTACCAGATTTAAAAGCCAAAGTCAAGATTTGCTGTTAGGCTAAGGAAAGCAAGCAGGCATTGTTTCAAACTCCTAGTGCATGGATGACTATTTCAATCCCCTGGAGGAGTTGTCCCACACGTCTCTCCCCGGGAAGCCCTCCCTGGCCCCACCAACCCTCTCTGCTCCTGCGTGGAGTGACTCATGCCTTCTGATCCTTGGGTTTTTGTACTCATCTCACCATGTTATGAGTTATTTGTCTATATGTCCATGTTCTGGCTGGGATGGGCCCTTCTTAAATGCAGAGATTGGGTGTCAGTTGTTTTTAGATCCTTAATATCTGGCACGTGCTTGATACACAGAGGCCAATAAAATCAGTGTTGCACTGACACACTCAATGCCATAACCAAACTGTTTGTCTGGATGCCAAAGTTCCACTGGGATACAGCATGACCGGATAAAGACCAATGGAAACACCTGAACTGAAGTTTTCCCCACAGCTGCCTGCGTCCCTCCCAATCCCAGAACAGTGGCTTAGCTTCCTACTCTTGGGCCTTCCTGAAGGAGAGATGGAACGGTAGAAGGAACCCTTTGAGCCGGGCTTGCTTTGTTCTGGCTGTTGCTCGAGGGCTGTGCCTGGATGACTCAGTGAGTTCCCCAAACAGCCCTATGAAGCAGGGATGGCTCCATGTCACGGAGGAGGAAGGCCAGTCTCCCAGAGATGAAGCAGCTGGCCCGAGAGCACCTGGCTGAGTGCTGGCTGGGTATGAGCCCAGACTGGCTGGCTCCAAAAGTGACCCAGAGACAGGATGACTGAGTGTCGGGAGGAACTTCTCCACGTGACTGTAGGAGAATGTTTCCTTCAGGTGGTGCTGTGGTGTGGGATGTATTCATTTTTAATTGCCAGACAAAATCAGGCGGATCAATGGAGTGCTGTAAAACAAAGACAGGTATCATTACAAAAATGTAGCAAGGGAGTTAGGAGACTGCATCTAGGCTCCGAGCAGGTGAGGACGGTGCCTGACTCAGTGCTTGGGACATCATAAAGAGCATTTAAGATCTTGTTGCACAAATGAGAGAGTGACCGAATAAATATCACCCTGGGAAAATGGACCTGAGAGATTTCATTATTCGAGCTGTGAGATTGTGAATTCCTGCACGAGATGATTAAAATACAATTTCAAAGATTCCTGTTAAATTCTAAAATGACTCCGATTTTTCTATGCTTTTTGGATTTCTGAAGACTGAGGCTTTCTGCAATGAGGACTCACTTGCCCCCTGCCCGTCCTTACTTCCTGCTGTACTTGAATGTAGGCTTCCTGCCCTAGAAAGGAAGTTTGACATTGCAGTAAATCTCCATGTCACAATATTCATCAGGTTTCTCAATTCAAGCAAACATCAAGTGCCTCCTTGCTGGGTGATGGGGGAATCACTGAAATCTGATGTTGTCCCTGGAAGGGAAACACTCAAGACAGAATGAAATCAGGGTCACCATCGAGATATACAAAGTAGAAAGCAGTTAAATTTGAAGGAGCAATGGATTTTGATTGTAAATAAGGAGAAAGTTTCTGAACTAGGTAGCCTGGATCTGGCCCTTGAAGGCTGAAAGTATGAGTGAGGCTGCTCTTACTGTTAGTAGCACGACTGTCAGCGGGCATTTGCTGAGTGTACTTATGAGCTCGGCAGTGTGCTCCAGAGGTCTCCACATGCATCAGCACGTTTCATCGTCACAGCACCTCCATGAAGTGGGTGCTGCACCTCTCCACTTCGTAGATGAGGACATGAAGCCCCAGACGGCTTAAGTAACTTGCCCATCATCAGCTCAACAGCAAATAGGTGGCAGAGGTAGCTACACACCCTCACAGCTGGCCCCAAGCCGTGGTCTCCTGACTGACCCCATCTCTCGCCTCGTTGGGCAGAAGCAAGAGTGGGGCCAACGTGTGGAAATGCAGAGCGCGTGTGGTCAGGGAATGGTCTTGAATGAGTTCAGTATAGGAGTGGCGAGCGTTCTGTGGGAACTGAGGATGGAGGGGGCAAGAGAGCTGGATCGGGAGGTCAGGACTGGGATGCCTGTGCTTTAGAATGTGTCTACGGGAAGGGAGAGCCAGCGTGACTTCACTGGAGAGTGGAAGAGTGACACATTCCCACCTCAGTATCATCACATCTGCCATCTCTCGCCCTAGAGATGCCTTCTCCTCCTTTCCATTCCTCACGCGACTCTGCTCTTCTCCCAGGCCCGGCGGTGGCGTCTCAGCTGGGCAGGTGTCCTGTCCTTTCCTGTCACCTGTCAGTCTTCCTCTTCCTCGTGGTCCATTCAGCAACATCACTGCTGCTCTGGGTGGTTGCATGTGGTGGTTTGCCTGCAAGCAGGTGGGTGCAGCCAGTTCAGGACCCCTGTGACAACTGTTCCCGTTACCCACTTTGTGAGTGTTAAAAATGTCATCCTTGGCCAGGTGTGATGGCTCACGCCTGTAATCCCAACACTTTAGGAGGCCGAGACGGGCAGATTACGAGGTCAGGAGATCGAGACCATCCTGGCTAACACAGTGAAAACCCGTCTCTACTAAAAGTACAAAAAATTAGCCGGTCATGGTGGCACACACCTGTAGTCCCAGCTACTCAGGCGGCTGAGGCAGGAGAATCACTTGAACCCGGGAGGTGGAGGTCGCAGTGAGTGGAGATCGTGCCACTGCACTCCAGCCTGGGTTATAGAGCGAGACTCCCTCTCAAAAAAAAAAAAAAAAAAAAATTCATCTACCTTACTCTGTAAAAGGGCCTGAAGCACAAACCTGGTGTTGTGTGGTGATGGCGGCACAGTGTGGAGAAATGTGCAAACGAATTTTAATAGATTTCACAGAATTCCGTGACTACCTCATGTTCTACTTCAAAATGGCATGAAATCAAAAGCGTTCAAGAGAGAATTATATTTGTTTCATCCATTTTTAAAGACTATGTAAAGTAACTCCATGTGGTTTTTCATTTCTTGCTCGTGTAAGTGACCAGAATTTAAATCTGTAAAGGTGCACTTTTTATTGCTAATGCTGCAAAGTGTTTGGAAGTTATCTCTGACCTTCCTAGTACTTACTATAGGCTCATTCAGCTCACTAATTAACTCCATCTGCCACCCTGAAAACCCTTAGTGGTTGCCGGGTACGGTGGCTCACGCCTGTAATCCCAACACTTTGGGAGACTGAAGCGGGCAGATCAGCTGAGGTCAGGAGTTCAAGACCAGCCTGGCCAACATGGTGAAACCCCATCTCTACTAAAAATACAAAAATTAGCCGGGCGTGGTGGCAGGCGCCTGTAATCCCAGCTACTCGGGAGACTGAGGGAGGAGAATCGCTGGAACCCAGGAGATAGAGGTTGTAGAGAGCCGAGATTACACCACTGTACTCTAGCCAGGGTGGCAGAGCGAGACTCTGGCTAAAAACAAAAAAAACAAAAAAACCCCCAAACAAACAAATAACCAACCCCACTAATGGCTAGGAAAAACTTTATGAAAAAAAACAAAACAAAAAACTTGAAAGACAATTTTAAAATGAGTAAATTGTCACCTACGCATACTTTGTCTTGGAAAAATAGACTATGACTCTGTCTCAAAAAAAAAGAAGTAAAGGGATAGTGAATGATAATATGTACTTGTGTATGTAAACTACATGAGAAGACAAGGTGAAATAGTCAGATGTTTGCATACATCAAATCATATTGAGGACCCTGTCTGCAAATGTGGGCCATCAGTACATGGCATAGTGATTCCAGTACTGTAAGCAATGTTGCCCTCCATGATGTCTTTCTGAAACAATAAAAAATTCTTGTTAAAGTTTGAAATGAAACAAAGTACAGTCTTCCTTCCATTTACATACTAGTTGCCTGCCTTCCTCCCTTCCTTCCTTCCTCCCTCCCTCCTTCCTTCCTTTGACGGAGTCTTGCTCTGTCGCCCCGGCTGGAGTGCAGTGGCGCTCTCTTGGTTCACTGCAAGCTCTGCCTCCTGGGTTCACACCATTCTCCTGCCTCAGCCTCCCAAGTAGCTGGGAATACAGGCGCCCGCCACCACGACTGGCTAATTTTTTGTATTTTTAGTGGAGACGGGGTTTCACCGTGTTACCCAGGATGGTCTCGATTTCCTGACCTCGTGATCTACCCAGCTCGGCCTCCCAAAGTGCTGGGATTACAGGTGTGAGCCACCACGCCCGGCCCACTAGTTGCATTTCTAGAACATTTAGAGTATATCAAAACCCTGCAAAATATACTTTTAAATATGAGTTAAATTGTGTTGTTAGATAATTAAATTTTTTTTTTTGCCTAAATGACTTGTCAACATTTACATGAAAATACAAGACAGTTATTTGTCACTGTGACAATCAAATAGACTCCACACATTCCTAAAGACGGGCGTATGGTACTACCCTTGTTGAAAATCTGTAGTGAGTCCCGGTGAAATGAAGCAACCGTGGTTCAAACATGTTCAATCAAATGTCCAACGCCATCAAGCTGGGGGGACACTAGAGGAACACTGGAAACCAAAGAGAAATGACCTTCCTAGGTTTCTGGTCAATCTTGATGCTACCATAGGATGATGCTCTATGCTATACCTCTTGCATCATTGCAAAAAGTCACCCGTTTTTTGGAGTGGACCTTCCAAAGTTAAACAAAAGAGTACATCGGCCGGGTGTGGTAGCTCATGCCTGTAATCCCAGCACTTTGGGAGGTTGAGGTGGGTGGATCACCTGGAGTCAGGAGTTTGAGACCAACCTGGCCAACATGGTGAAACCCCATCTGTACTAAAAATACAAAAA